CATACGAACAGATACCTCTTAGAAGCTAAACCGAAGAAGTTACGATCGAAAGAGTGAGAGAGAACCCCATAAGAACCCACAAGACAAAAAGAAAAAACAAGAGCGACCCCCTTTTTCACTCCCTGTCTCCCACATCAAGTTCCGTCAACTTCAAAATTAGAAACACAAAAAAGCAATAGCAGCACATACCCATTGTACAGCAACAGCTCCAACTCCGAATTGACACTCGACCCTCTCGTTTTCTCTCCCTCTCTCTACAATTGGACCATTGAAAATCACTGTTGGAAGTGCGGATGAGGAGCTTTCATCGTAGGATTGAACGGCATGTAAATACATGTATCTGTATCAGTCAAAAGGAGCTGAGGAATCGAACAAAAAAGGGGCAACAACCAGTTTGCTGGAGCAAGGAATCGGGCTAGCTTGTGCACGAAGAGGAATCAAGAACCATGACGAATCAACAATCTGTGGGCAGGAGAGGAAGGGAATTGATTCGAAGTTGGAAGGGCAGTATAAAAATGGCGAAGACTGAGCTGTAGCTGATTATGGATACCTTTGCTTTTTGTCGGGAAAAAAATGAGAACTAGACGACAAGGAAAGCATAAAGGGCAATGGCTTCAGGTGCGTTCTAGTGGGGGCCGCTGACCCACAAAGGCCAACGAAACCATGTTGAATTGTTGATTCATCGTGTTGAGTAGACGTGTGTTGGTTTACCACTTTGGGTGGTTTAGATTTAGAAACAAAGCTTTTTTTTTTTCTTTTTTTGATAAAAAGAAACAAAGCTTTTAAACATGGTTCACAAAACTAAAAGTAAGGTTTTTTTTTTCGGGGGAGATTTGAACTTACGATTGACATAAGTGGCTTAGGTGTGTTTTGGGAGTGATGTTGAATGAGTGATTTAAGAAAAATAGATTTAAGGATAATTAATTTTTCAAAATCAGTATCAAATAATACTTTAAAAATCAATTTAGAGTGATTTTAAGTTTTCTTAAAATCAATTTTTTAATTTACCAAATATAATCAATGGAGAGGAAAGTGATTTTAACAATGACAAATAGCCAAAATCACTCCCAAACATGTGTTTAGTCCATTGTTTAGATTTGTATAAAAATAAAGTCAACAAAATTCAACTTGTTACAAAAGTTTAAAGGTTCAAACTTTCACTGTCTCTAATCCTATGGGGAGGCTAAGTAGGAAAAAATAACATTCATACGTATATGTTGCTAAACAAATTGTACAAATCATTAAAGTATGATGATTGTGACAATTATACCTCCAAACTTTCAATAGTAAAAATTAAATTCTTAATGAAATAAATTTTCAATTGTAAAAAAAAAAAGGATAAAGAAAAAATTGTACACCTGACCCTTCCACTGTAAAAATTAAATCTATCCAATTTTCTTTAAGTGAACAATTAAATTTATTTTTACTATATTTCTCTTCCATGTTACTTCCTCTCTTTTTACTTTCTCTATCTTCTCTGTTCTTCCAATGGGTTTGTTTGAGCTTTTTTTCTTCCTCTCTATGATGGAATGCTTCCATTATTATTTGCAATATATATATATATAAATATATATGCTTCCATCATTATTTGCGACAGGGAGAAGAAGAGAGAAAAAAAAGGGGAAAAAAAAAAGAAAAAGGGGAAGAAGGAAAGAAAAATGCTTCCAGTATTTTACACGTTTCCGTTTGTACCATAAACTCAAACGTTCAAGCGTTGTCCATAAGCTTTCTCCACAGTTGGAAATTGACAACTTTTGTTAGGTATTTTAAACAGTTTATTTCTATTATTTTGTTTTACCCATTCAACCAATCAATCCACCCTCCCATAGAAATAGGGAGTGGTTTAACAGACTTGATTAACAAGTCTCCCTATTACAAAAGGGAATTTTTAGAGTCTATGGACCAATCCTGTCACATTATCCTATAAAATTAAATGAATTGAATTGTGTTTTATCATTTTGATTTTGGCCATACAAGCAATAAGAGATTCTTAAGACAACTTAGCTACTCACAAAGTCTCGGGAAGGATTGTTGTATTTAGTGGTATCCACGTATTGGATTGGGTAGCATTAGGGGTTTTTTTAATATTCGGATTTGTCAAATAAGGAAATTGATGGAACTGAATATAATGGCCAAACATTGGGTCATCGAGTTACTCCTATTATTCACAGTAGCTACTAATTGAGAGAGATGGAAGAATCTAAGCAACTAAAACCTTTGTTAAACTTACATTCGACGAATTCAACTTGGACTCCAAATCCTCCTCATTTATTCGAATGATATTTATCCTATCTAAAATTGATTATGCCCCACATTGGTTTTAGAAACGTTAAAATTACCAGTGAACTTGGCTGAAGCAATCCAAGATTCAAATCAACACACACGCACACGCACACCCAATTCACGCACACATGACTTGCACACAACTCGCGCGCATGCACACACACATGGTTCGCGAAAAATGTAACCCAACTAAAACCAAGCCTTTATTAACCCAATCCAACTATTATTATTTGGGTCGAGTTGCTCGGGTTATTCAAGTTGTTGGTTTTTTTTAACTCCCCTAATTGGCTAGGGTTTTCTTATCACCTACTATGGAGGAGAGAGAGTCAGATTTTCAATCTAATACCCAAGAGATATTTGGAGAGTAGAGTAGGATAGTTTTGCCAAACTCCTATAAAAATTTTCGGTGTACATTCCTCTTTACCACCAACATTGCTTCTGCTCAGCTTGCACCAAACGGTTGAGCCACATTTCTAAGATTGTTCGGGGATAAAATATCCAATTGCCACGTGGAGGATAGAGATTGGCTCTCAGAAGAGGTGGTTTAAAAGAATCATTCAACAAAGCTCCTCCTCGGAACCTTCCGAGGAGGGAAGTTCATTACCTTTAACAGAATTGCAACATCGAAAGTATCCGAGTTCGATCTACCTGAGCCCGACACGTTCGACCAAGGTAATCTCCTGTCGTGACCCCTATCGAGACCTAAACCTATAAATAGAGGGTCTCATTTCACCATCAGGTGTCGATTTTCTTCTCAAACTCGATATTGAGTCCAAGCTACTTACTGACTTGAGCGTCAGAGATTTTGCCCTCTTGTACAGGTCTTCCCGTCGTCTTTCGGGTCGGAGTGAAGACCGGGTTCGAGCTTTGGATCTGTTATGCAAATTCTTGCATAAACAAAGATTATGGTACATGTGGTGGGGATTCAACATGGGCAACAATAACCTGCTTTTAGATGTAGGTTGGTTTTTAGCCACCCACATAGTGAAGCCATACAAAAAGTGTCCAGGTCAGGACTATATATCGTCTAGGAAACAGTTCGGCAAAGTGGGGCACACTCCTTTGTCGAATAAGCATTAGAGGGATAAGTGGTTTCTCCTCTAAGGGGATTGGCTCGTCACCAAGGACGGAGATTCGTACTGTCAAGTCCCAAGTGAGTTTGGGGAAGTAGGTAAGCTCAATTCAGGATAGAGTCTTCTTTCTAGCTTTGTTTGGTATTTACTAACTATGATCTTTCATGTGTAGCTCTTCCAATACCACCGCCACCAATCAGAGACAACTCCTGGGAGATTCTCGACCTCGTGTTGGATCTTGATGAGCTTTAGTTCAAAGGCCTTCTCAACTATATCAACCTTACTAAGTGTAAAATTGTCAAGCTCAAACCAAATCGATATTCACGCCTTGAGAAAATGGTTTCCAAGCTCTTCACCTCGCTGAATCGAAAGCGCTTGTCTAAGACACATGCTGCTAAGATGCCTCGACTAAACGAGGAAAAGTGGAGAGCACTTGCACCTCTACTCCGCGAGCTTCAGAGGAGTCTTCTAGGCCTTTCTACATTGAGTCACTTTAGACGATTTTGGCGATTCCCTCCTCGTCGCAGAAGAATGGTTAGTTTTCATTCGACCACAAGGGGAAAAGATTAGATGAAGTGTCATCCCGATCGCCACTGAAGCCCATCAACATTCCATCTGAGAAGGATGGTCATATTGAAGGTTACTCCTTCAAGTTCAGCTTTAATGTTGAAATGATTCGAGAATCAACTTTAAAGGTGTTCAAAAATAGCACAAATCAAATGTTGAACCAGAACGAGGGTGATTCTTGGATAAACCTGGAAACTACGTCAGTTTTTTATCATTAGATCACCTAGCTTCATTGTATCGCCTTTCACATTAGGGCCATCGTCAGTTGTCGAGCCTCTACCTTAATTGATAAGAGGTTACGTGCAAGCACACACTGCCACAAGTAATATAGGGAATTGGTATTCTGAGTTTGTTCCTCAGGGACTTTGATTCAAAAAAATGATGTGAATAGTTCCAAATTGCAATCGGGTTTATTGGTAAAAATAGTTGCGAGAGTCATGGTTTGGCTTTAAAATATCAAGCTTCTCTAATTAAGGACGACTCTCTCTACTTCATGCCTTAGTTTTAAAACAAACAACTCAAAGATGAAAAATGCGCCAAATACTTTTCTAATTTATACTAGAAACTGAGTTCTACTCTTATAACAGAGCCAAGAACAACCACTGGTCATATGTCTATACATGATTACAACCTATAAATTACTACCAATTCGTCTTCTTTTATGGGTCAGAGGACCTAGTTTAGGATCATATTTTATGTGCTTATGACTAAGCTACATCCCATATTAACTCCCTATTAAATACTTAACCTAACCCTTTCAGTACTAGGCTTCAGTTTAGCTAAACTTCTTAGCGGCCAACTTAAGAAATCTGTTGAGAAAACATGTTGAGTAGTTAACTAGTAGAGCTAGATGCTACCTGGAGCTTTTCAATCGTGTTATATTTTTAATGAATTTTGCTAAGGCATTTCACACTGAGGTTGGAAACTAATTTAGTGTATGATTAAAGTGTAGAAAATACTCATGGAAATTAAAGAAATACTTGCCACTGATAAGAAATGGAATTTAACAAAGTAACAACGAGCCCTAGCTTAACCTTCTTCTCTTTCGAGCTTAAAGAGAGATAAAACTAGCTAGAAAACGTTTAGAATTGAAATAAAAGAAATACAAGGAAGAAAACGTAGAGGAAAGCATATAAAGAAACCTAAGACAAGACTTAAAGTAAATAAAGCTAAAAAATTGCAAAACTAAGAACCCTAAAACCCTAAAACTAAAGAAGAATAATGAAAAGAACGATTCAAAGCTGAAAACAAGATTGTCCACTACTCAGACAATCTTTGAATTTATAAGAGCTTGTGTGGTTGCAACTAACTATCAAAATAGGAGGAATTGTGCTAAAATGGTGGGATTTTGTTTAGCCGAACTCAAACTGACCCCAACAACGTTGACTTGACTGGATATGTTGACTTCGGAAATGACCTTGTTGCCCTCTAGTCGAAACGAAGTGTTTTACAAAAAAGTCGTAAAGAAGCACGAGACGTTTTTTGACTTGCGTAATGAAAAACTTAAGTTTGTGCTATATGCTCCACACATTGTTCAATTTCCATTCTCATGCATTAGTGATGTGTCTTAGCCAACTATTAACATTATGTACTCAATATATGCAGTTTATGGATCGGAAGGGATCATTTAAACCCTAAAGTATGCATA